TGTGCGGCCCCCCCGCTGGCTGCCGGCTGGCCCTGGAGGCAGCGTGACCTTAGCTCTCAGGTATTCAGTTTACTGCTGCTCTGGACCATGGCCGCCAAACTCATTTCCAGTCGAAGCAGCTGGGTTTTGTCACAAACATGACTTCGTGAAGTGTCCTCCGCTGAGCTGAGGTTGCATAAAAATCACTCATCCGATTCCTGCCAAGGCCAGAGATTTGGAGGGGAGTTTACAGGAAGAGGGTGCTACCCCGGGAGAGTGGGGGCAGCGAACGTTTTCCTCCAGAGTCATCTGCAGGGGCTCTTGTCACACGTCTGCCTGTTACTTCCAGCCTGTGACAAAGAGTGCGACATGCTGGGTTCCGGAGGCAAGCCCGGGCCCTCGTGGTGGGCGGGCTCCCCTGTCCCGGCAGCCGGGCGCAGCTGACTTCCACGGAGTGTGACACGAGGCAGGTGTTTCCGACCTCGTAGGAGGAGTAGGTCCAGTGTCACATCTGCAGGGTGGTCCCCTTCCCTCCCCTCCCTCGGGGGCTGCTGAGAGGTGGGTGCGGTGTTCTGTGACTAAGCCCTGAAGCGTGGTCCAAGAGTAAGGATTCTTGTACGAATACAATGATGTGACTTAAAACACTGGTGTTTGCGTCAGAAGCCAGGGTCCTAGCTAATTCTCTCACTTACAGTTGTGTGACTTGGACAGGCCACCTAAGAGCCCCAAAGAGCTCAGCCACCTCTGCCCGACGTGAATGCGCTCTCGGCATTTGTCCGCACACAGCCTGGCCAGCTGAGCTGCAAAGTAAATTCATCTAAATGGCGTCGATCCCTCTCACCTCACAACGAGGTTGCCTGTGAGGTGGTGGGTGTTGGGGGACAAGGTTAATATAATAAACGCCTCAGTTCCCTTCGCCTGGGGCAGGTGAAATGAGCCCAGCCTCTCAGGAAGGGCCTCGTCAAAGTGATTTTTAATTGCTGGTTGCGATTCAGCAGCTAGAAGTTATTGCCTGTGATCCTTGTGCTGGGTGTGTTCACTCCGTTCATCTGCTACGAACCCATCTGCTCTCCACGTGCCACAGAGCACCACAGGCCGCGGCGGTCTCGCCTGCGTGTCACCTCCCAGCACTCAGCGTCCGTCCTTTCCCTTTGGAATTGAATCACGAAGGCCACCCCTTGTCTTCTACTTGGGACACGTGCTAATGCTAGAGGCTTGGTCAGTGGAGGGACAGGTCCCCTTTTTGTCAGTGGGGAGCCCAGCACAAGGGTGGACCCCTCGTAGGTCCATGCGTGGGTCTGAACTCACCTCACCTAGGTGTTTGGGGGGTGTTTATACATCCCGAGAGGGGACACAGAGCTCCACTGTTATCCAAACTTGGCGAGTCTGTGCTTAAAACTGTGCGTTAATTCCGCATACCATTTGGGGGAAAGTGTACTGATCTATTTGACTTTGAAACGCGTCAGAAAATACGATGGAACAATACACAAGCCGTGGGACCCCCGTGCGAGGAGGCGAGTCAGGCGGGCGTTAGTGAGAGAAACTGAATGGTGCGCATACGAAAATCTTTCAGATTTGCTCTACGTTTGAAAACTTCTCATAATCAAATGTTAGGGGGAAAGAGTGTTCTAACTCTATGCTGCTCAAAAAATGGCCTTTTACAATTTCAGGTGGCAGGCGTTTTTCGCTTGTTGTTGGTTTCGTTTTTTGCATAATCGCAGTATCCGCTTTGCCAACGGGTAAAGGCCGAGCTGGAAGGCGCAGCGCAGGGTGAGGGCCAGGGGCCCAGGTCACCGCAGGGTGGAACTGGGTGAACTCCTCCACCCGGATGCAGGCGGAGTGACTGGGGTGGGTCTCCCCACGACAGGCCTGACCGGGTGAGAATTGCATCACAGCCTGGGGAGCGGACAGCTCACTCCCAAGAAGGAAAAGACAGGGAGGGATTTTTCCAGTTTTATGCAAGTTAATGATGAACGCAACTTTGTGTGAAATTTCAATTTTTTGTTTTTTATTTTTCTTCTCTAAGGTCATTGTTCGAGGCGGAGGACATATTTTGCCTTACGACCAGCCCCTGCGATCCTTTGACATGATAAATCGATTCATTTTTGAAAGAGGGTGGGATCCTTACTGATGGATAAGCTCCTTTTTCTCAAAGAGAACGAACGCCAAGGGTTTGGATCTTTGAAAGGAAAGATTTCAGAACGGAAGATGTCATGCGAATAAGAAAGCAACCTTTTCCTATCGGCAGAACTGTTTCTCATCAATAAAAGTTACCCTTGAAATGACAAGTGAGGTTCTGTTCTGGGGGGTTGGGGGAGAGGGTTCATTACAAAGTTAACTTTAAGAAAACGGGTGCCTGAGGGAGAATTACATCTTTTAGCTTTCAAAAGATGGAATGAGTGGATTCTGAGACACCGGCTCAGATAGACATGGATCAGTGGGATGTGGGGCCCTGAATGGGAACCTTAAATTCCTCCTGAGAGTATGTATGGCCAGAGCTGTAACCATGTCTTGCTCTATAAATAATAGCGTTTTCTGAGATCATCCGTATGCAGGTGTTTGGTAAATATTTTTGGGTAATTTTCTGAGATCATCCATATGCAGGTGTTTGGTAAATATTTTTGGATAAGGATAGCTGAATTATCACCCCAGAGGAATGGTGATGTTATAACAACGGTGGGGAATGTAGAAAGTCTTCACACGAAAGGGAGCTTGGAATGCTTTGAAATAGAAACCTCAGATATAAAAATAATGATGTAACAATTGATGCTACACAGAGGACCTTGGAGAATATACTGAGTCTTTGCCGCTCTTTGTTTTTTTTAAATTTGTTGGTTCATTTGAAGTGTACATGTTTATCAAACAGCCTGCAGGCCACGTGAGCTATGAGCCATTTTTTATTTGGGTCATAAATTCTGTACTTCTTTTAGCCAAATAAACAATGACCTAATTTTGTATAATTGTTGAAGTACCAAAAAAAA